TTCACGATCAAGCAGGGCAAGGCCATTGCACTGGACATCGTGTCTGACAGATAGCAGAGGACGTAGCATACAAGGGCTTTACTACATCCACCAAGCCTGGAGACTGGTGCACGGCAATAAAGTCCTCCAACGTTTTGCTGGGCCCTGATTTTGAAGCGTGCATCACTGATTACTGTCTTTCCATGCTGGCCAACCCTTGCAGCTTCCAGGACGACCCTGATTCTGCGCGGCGATAGAGCCCCTGAGACCCGCAATCCGAATCACCAGCCAACCCCCAATCTGACGTTTATGCCTACGGCGTTTTGTTGCTGGAACTTCTGACGGGGAAGCCTCCTTCGGAGCACCCTTTATTGGTGCCCACCGATAGGGTGAGTTGGGTGAAATCCGTGCGGGAAGATAACGGAGGGAAAGACAACAGAATGGACATGCTTGTTGAGGTCGCTACTACTTGTAGCTTGACCTCCCCTGAGCAGAGGCCCACTATGTGGCAGGTCCTGAAAATGTTGCAGGAGATTAAAGAGATTGTATTATTGGAGGATAGTGCGCATTAGACCTGCACCCCACCATCTTGTATCGTCTTTTCTTTCGTTTTTGTTTAGTTATTACATGATATATATTGGATAGGGAAAAGTCGGTGTTAGCTAATGATTAGATTTGATGGGAAACTAAACATAAAATCCTGAGTCCATACGATGTTCTATCCCTTCAATTCCACTTTCTGGGCATTTGACTCTTGACAACAATGCGGGATGCAACTTGCTTAGCTTCTCGATTGATGGGCTTTTCTATTGGTTCCCTGTACTACCGGAAACACAATCTGTATTTGGGATGTGGTAAAATACGGTGAGAGATAGATACTACTTTATTATATCCGCGTGTTATTTAAATTCTAATTACATATTAAGTTCAATATTGTGAAATGAGCATTCTAATTTTATGATACAATCTTTATAGTGTTAAAAGTAGTTCATTATTTGGAATGCCTGATGTATTATATCGGTTGCGAATGATTGTTAAAATGGAATTTTTACTACTTTGTTTAAATAATCTTTAAATCGTTATATCGCTTTAGTTTAAGGGATGGCATCAGTGAGAAGAGTGAACCTATAACTTTAATTCAATTAGAGATGTAGAGGAAGGCCTAAGAGAACACTTTTTGGAGTTATTGAACGCGATCTCTTAATTAATAATATTTTTAAAACTTGATAAATGATATAGCACAATGGCGTCTTACATCCATGTAGCCGACCTCACCTAGTGGGATAACTGCTTGCTTGTTGTTGTTTAAATAATCTTTTAATAACTACTGCAATAATCTTCATTCTTCGGGATTGATGACTGTGCTTTGTTCCACGCCTGATTTTGTCTCGCTGTGAGGAAAATTCAATTGGTTTAGATTTTATTACATAATTGATTATTTGGATCCAAATTACATTTTGGCTTAAGCTGAAAAGAGTAGCTTTGGAGATTCAATCATACAGTTATTATTTGTTAGATATTTCACTTGCCAAATTTACCCTCAATCAAATACACTTTTCTTCTATCATATTCCAGCTGGGTCGCATCGTAGCATGAAGTCTGGGGCTTGAGCTGGGAGAAAATGGGAATTGCGATGGGGAGGGTGTGTTGTTATTTGGGCTTTCACGTTGGTGGTATAATGATATTATATACTTACACTTTAAAAAAGATCAAAATATTTAATTAAATTTCATCTTCAATAAAATAATTACTTTATTTTTAAATTAATTTTATTTTTTTATATTTCTCCTATTAAATACCTTACAATAAATATAAAATTATTATCAATAAGGACATTTTTTAAAAAGATAATGATTATACCTCAAAAGACTAAAATATTATATTTTTTAACATTCAAATTTCTCAAAAAATGCCTTACATTTTTAACTAGAGAGAGTACCACTTTATTAATTATATATACCTTTGATTTATTAGATACCTTGATTTAAAAAATGATTCAAACAAAAGTTAGACACCTGGTTCCCGTGAGGTTAAATTTGATCTATTTTTTTTACATAATTAAACTTATTAATATTACTAAATAATATAATTGAAAATTTCTAAATTTAAATTATATTTAATAATATTATATACTGTCATTATTTACATTTTAAAAAGCAGTGTCTCTTATTACAAAAAAAAAAATCTTTTATAATAATTTGTACATTTAAACTTGATTTTAACTCATTTATCCAGTTATATTTATTTTATCAAATGTAAGTTCAGAAAATATATAAAAATAGTTACAATATAATATGATCAATTATTATCAAAATTAATCATACTAATCAATTATTTCATAATTAATTTTACATAGCTGAAATCCACTAATAGTTCGGTTGTAACGATTTATATCTTTCCCACTGGAAAATATCAAGATAAGGGAATCTAATTCAAGATATAGAATGGCAGGAATAATTTCAAAACCTCTCACGGGCGAGCACGTGTATTATCCAAAAAAGCTACAAACGTGATAATATATCCTTCGTTTTAAAAAAAAAATAATATATTTTTTAAGAGATTGTGTGTTAAAAAATATAAAATATTTTAATATTTTAAAATGTAATCATTGTTCTTTTTTTAAGGGTGCTCCTAATGAATAAATTACTTTATATTTGTTTTAGAATAAAATACCTTATTAAATAAATATAGATATAAAAAGATAATATTAATTTAAAAATAAGTAACTGCTTCAATTATTGAGGGGTGAGATTCAATTAAAAATATTTTATTTTTTAATAGAGTGAGTAAATAATTTCAACAGATCATTTTGTAGGTTAATTTGACATAAGCACATCCTAAAATTAACATGCAACGTAATTGTTCTTTTTTTTTGTGGTCAAAATATGCAACGTTATTAGTGATTGTGATTGCTTCTTAAATTTATCAGCCCCTACCGTCTGTTTTAGGGGTAATTTTTGCCAAATTGTTGTTGGAGAATTTTCCGACGTTACTGCCATCATAATATTTTTTCGATCCAGGATAATTAAACGCAAATGACATTGATGGACACTGTCATCCCCATGAGAGTTCGTATTAATCTTCATTTGGAAATGGGTTTTAGTTATGGGTCAGTATGGGCTAAATTGGCTTAGTTTTGGACCAGAGGATGGGCCAACCCCAGGATAGAAGGAACCACACATATCATCCACGTTTCGCTGGAAAAAGGAGGATGATGGCAGCTGCTATGGCAGCGTAGAATATGCTAGAATGATCTAATTAGTCCGCAGCAGGGTGATTATATTTATATTTATTATTAAATTAAACTGAATGTTATTTCTACGGACACAACATTCTGTCCCTCTCCGTAAACTTGAATGAAAGCCCACACCTTTGATACAGAATCGTTCGAAGAGAAACCTAGAAAGCTGGGTATGGACACCGATATGATTGAGGCGGAGAAGGCGTCGCCTCAGGAGGTGGCGGTGTCTTCTAATTCCAGTCAGAATGACTTCATTCGAGATCTACTTACATTGGCACGGCAACTCATCGATCAAGGGAAGCCTTCACAAGCTCTCCATGCGGTAAACTTTATTCTTTTCCACACATTCTTTTAAATAACCCTTCTTCTTCTTCTTCTTCTTCTTCTTCTTCTTATTATTATTATTATTATTATTATTTGCTGCCTATTGATTGTTCTTCTCTTTTTGTTTCTTTTTTTTTCTCCAGTTTCCAAGCTCTATTTTCTTTTACTCTTTTTTTTTTTGGAGGTTATAATTCTTTATCTCTTCCCATATCAAGATATTCGAAGAGAGGAAATTTTCTTCCTTTGTTTACCTGATCTTTAATGTTCGCGCGGTAGAATGGCTCTTTTGAATTTTGTTTCTGAGTCATTGGTTGAAAGGGTTGTCATACATCCGGGGCTTTTGTTGCGGTAACATTCAAGTAGATTATCACGTTAGAAAGAATTGATTTTCCCCCATCTAAGGAACGATTGAACACTATGATTTGATAGCCTTCAAACAACCACACTGCTTTTGGAACCCTTGAATTTGGTGACTGGACTTCATAAGTGAGTTATGGTTCGATATCTTGGGCAAGACAGACTTGGGGCTGTAGTGACGATCATATCAACAAAATTTTGGAAAATAATTACTAGATCATGTATTACTGAAAATACATTAAGAAAGCCTGAGGCTATTTGATACGGTGGTGTTTTGCCAGTCATAAGTGACGTAGTGCAATATCTTGAAAGCCTACCAATAGAATGCCAACCTTATGCAAAATTTAGGGTAACTACGAATGCAATATCACGTTCTTAGATAACCTTGCTACCTAAATGGTTTCATGAGCACATAAAAAGATTTTGACTTTGAGGACTTGAAAAGATACTTTTTTGGATGGATGAAAATTCTAGTCACTTGGTAGCACATTCGACCCACCATTATGCATGATCATTCCAAATGCTTATAAGAATGACAACGATAAGTGTACGTCTAATCTGTTCTAGGGTCAAAAGTTTTCACCTCACGGCAGGTACCAAAGTTCTAAAGTTCCAACATAGCACTAATTAGATACATATTTTCCAGATCTGTGAGACACGCTAGACATGAATATGATTTCCAATAGAACAAAATTAAACCTTTATGGAAGTTAACTTCTGCAACACTGATTTTTACAGTGTTTATTCGTATGATAACTGGTGGCTTGTCAGATTATGCCTACATAAGACATTATCTGCCCCATTACTTCTTTTTTCAAATGTCGTGGATAGCTAACACGTCACATTATTGTTTTAGTAATTTCACGGTAGTTATCCTAGCCGTGTGTGACTACCGTTACAAGCTCTTTGTTGTACTCTATATATAATTGGGTGCTGACTAAGTGAAACATATAATGCCTTGGGGACGTTGCGAGCAGCTTTCTTTTTGTTTCTTTAGTCTTGACACTGTCAGTAAATGCCTTGGGGAATGAGCCAATTTTATTTTGGCTCCTACGCTCTAGAATCTAAATGATGATAATCAGCTACCCAAACAAATGAATAAAGGTGGTTGCCTGTTGTAATTCGTGAAACATAAAACTCTTCTATGAAAATTGTAAGATGCTTCTTTGGCAGGGGAGAAAAATTATTTGAAAGCGGTAAACCTGGAAGAGTCTTTTTGTTGGCTGATAATTACTTACTTTTGGAACAGGTGGTCCTTGCCATGAAGACCAAAGGTGGGAATGAAGCTGTCTTTCAGTTCTTAAACCGAGCTCGTGAGCTGTATAGAAGTAAACTGCGAGAGAATGCTGCCATTGATCAATTGGCTTCTTTATTTGCTGAGTGTGCCATTGCTGGAGCACTACCTATAAATATTGGAACATCTGCAAATAGCATTTCTCCTCCTTCAATTAGTCCTGATGTTCATGAGGCATCTATACTTGCAGAAACTGGGAGGATGCAAGTAGTATTGGATGCTGTTTCAGATGGGAGCAGCTTCATCTGTTTGAAGTGTGGGGGCCTTGTTAGCATCCATCGCAAAGAGGAGCACTATGCTCACTGGTGTTGTTAACTCTTTAGCGATGGGTGCCTTGGCGATGCCTTGTTTCTCTGTGCATCGTCACCGTGCTAAATTTGGTGGTTTCTTCATCTTAATGCGGGGAAGGTTTCAGTTTTTGGATGATTGCATCTGCGGGAGGAATTTATGGAACATCTTGCAGCCATGCGGGGGCATTAGGGGAATATTCGGCCAGCCATTCTCCATCCCTTTCCAAGACTTGAATCCTGCAAACCATGGTGATTGACTAGATAAGAGAGTCAAGTTAAGTAATGGCATCCTGTTGATAGGATTCGAGCCATGGTACTCGCGGATTTTGTATGTATGAATCGTAGGCGTGTATACATTTAAATAATTTTATATCACACTTGTCTTCTATTATACTGTAATTACTAATAATTTAAATAATGTTTGTATCGCACTTATCTTCAATTGTTGATTTCCCGCCATATCTCTCACCTTGCAAATGAGCATAACCATTAACATTATGGATACAATTGGAACCAGGACTAGCTTGGATGGTCTTTAGAGCAGGTTATTGATTCGTGCGCTCATTTTTGGTACATCAAAAAGAACATGTGGTGTCATTGAGAATTTTAATCATAATTGCAAAACAGAGTCTCCTATGTAACCAAATCAAACATCGTTGCACACAGGGCAGAGTGAATCCGCTTTGGTGGCGTCCGTTGTCTTCTTGTTGTTAACTATGCGATCATCAGAAACAATGCCCTTGTATGTACCTCTAAGCAACTTGATTCAGCTCTTTAGATTGATTGATGACCCTAGATAATTGCGTTTTTCAGTCAAGAGCCAGTTGACAAAACTAGCACCAACAATTTCATTTGAGAAGAGAGCAGAAGAGAAAAAAGAAATATTACTGTGATATATATAATAAGTGTAATATAGTTTCATATATTCATATTATTTTCTTTTAAATGTTGAATTATACAATGTAAGGAGGAAAAAAAAATAAACAACCGATTCTGGTTGGTTTAAGGCTTGAAAAGCCTCATGATGCTCAAATCTTTGCTAGAACTACATGGAAAAATAATTTTGAACATAAGCTTTCAATGATTTCAAATATCTAGTCAACCATTAAAAACAGTTTTGATTAGTTGTCGCTGCCTGGGATTTCTTTTTTAATGACCTGCAACTGCGTGGGATGGCTCAATAACCCAAAATGAATGCCATTAACTTCACACACTATTCGTTAATTAATTATTACCATATCTATGCATCATATATCATACGCTTATAACATATTTTGCCACCTATAGATCATGAACTATATGATAATCTCGAATTTCACGTAATATATGAAAATTATGCATAGTTATCTATAAGATAAAATAAAATAGTGCGTTGGAAAAAATTGATATTATTTTTTCGCCAATCGTAACCAAACAATAACAAAGATAACAATTCTTATCATACACTTGAATATATAAGCAGTAAACTTAAGCGAGCCAAGCTACAAAGTGACATGACAACTGACAGCTATGGAGTGATTGGCGATGCGGCCTCATCAACATCACCATTTTAACTTATTTTGGTTGAAAAAACACACATTTTAATCTTTATATTTTACCTGTATTTTATTATAAATTTTTAATTTTTTAATATTTTTAATATTTTTAATATTTATTTTTTAATATTTTAAATTCTTAAATAAATAAAATATAGGGTTTTAAAATACTAAAAATAAAAATATGAAGATTTAAAATATTAAAAAAATATAAAAATTTATAATAAAATATAAGTAAAGTGTAGGAATAAAAGGTTTTTTTTTTTGAATAATATGAGGAGCATTTTCATTCAAAATAAAACATAGTACGAACAGGGAGAAAGCTAAACATGAAATATGAAAAGCATCATTTTAATATATTTAAGCTAGATCAATGATTTAAATGGCCCGAGATTATTTAGATTGAATTTAAAATATCACACCTTATCTAAAAAGCTTATACAACTAAACTTAGCCCTAATACTTTTGAGTTTTGTATTTATTTGGGCTAATTTGAATACTCAAAATTTTTTAAAAATATCTTTTTTTATTTTTTTGAATCAATTTTAATTTTTAAGTAACTTCATTAAGTATAAAATATTATTTTAATTTTACAATAATGAAAGAAAAAATAATAACTTATTAACTTTATACTTAAGTAACTCTGTTATTGTTTTACTGTATTGTATATAATTTATTCATGAATATTTTTTTTACTTTCAAATTAATGTTTTAATTATTTAAATATTATTTTTATCATGGCCATATATAAATTCTTTATATATTTTAATCAAATTGATCTCAATTCAATCACAATTAAACCATTAACTTAAAATGATTGCTAGTTCAAAATTTTCAATAACTTTTTAATAAACTATACTTTTTGTTTTTAAGAATATGAAAAAAATAATTGTCATTATTATATATAAAACAAAATTATTTAATTATAAAAATATTTTTTTAAAATTATATTTTAAAATTTTTATATTGTTTAACTCCTACATATAAGAGTTATTTACTCTAATTTATTTTTAATTTTAATCAAGTTTGGCATAGACGATAACCGAATGATTATTCAAAAATATTATTATATTTATTATATTTATCTAGTAGTAAAGTTGACAATTCTTAGACATCCAAATTTTATTTTTAAAATTATTTTTAATTTAATTTTTCTAATTTAAAAGTAATTATTTTATTTTATAAAAAATATAAAATATATATTGCTGGATATATATAGGGCTCAACTTTTTTTTTAAGAAATGAGTGGGTTTTAAAATTTAAAAATTGACATTAAAATATATTTTAAATATTATTTTAAGATATTTTATTAATTAAAAATAAAAAATATGAGAATATAAATATTTTTATTTTTTAAAAATAAATATAATAATATGCTTAAGTATATGATATTTTAACAACATAAAATTCAAAAAATTAATTAATATTTATTACATTTTATATATTTTTAATTATTATTATTTTGTTTTTTTCTCTGCTCAAATGCTTTCAGACCTGATCAGTCCAAATATTTTAAAAATATTATTTTTATCAGGTTCGATTCTAAATTGGTCGGGCGGGATGGGTTGACCCGTCGTCCGGACTACGGGCTCGAATTTAAGCGAGGAAAAATCCCGGGGATGCAAAATCAGAATCGTTTGACCCTTCCTCCCTCGCTTGTCATCTGGATGCGATAATATCGAAGGAAGGAGAAGACTCAGAATTGTCCTCGTATCTCAGCTGCCTTTACTGTTTTACCCGTAACAATCCCCAGGTAAGTTCATTGTCGACAAAAGTGCTGGCCTTAGACTGGATCTATTGCGGATTGTTTCCATTTGCTTCGTGCCATTGATATCTTCTAAGTTCCGTCACGCGGATTCCCAAAGCTCCAAACCTTCTTGTTTTTATGCCTTGCATCGCACTAAATATAAATCAGGGAGATTAGTGTGAACATCCGTAATTTTACGTTTTCGGATGTATCATGCATGTAAATTGCGATAAATGGTTATGGATTGAATTGGGGTAGTTTATATTTGAGTAAGGAAAAGGGCTTTGAGTTTCATGGAGACAAACTTGATATAGATGTGTGTGGATGGTTCTTGGCTGGCCGCCATTTGGCCTTCGGTGGGTGGAATGCTGGTTCTATACTCCTATTGCTCCCGTTTTTGAAGTTATTACTTTGGAGCGTTAGTAAAGATGTAGATTTTCGGAGGAACCTATGTGCCATTATGCCATATATGGTTGTTGTAAATTTCGGGGCTGTTCTCCTTGTCCAGTCAGACTCTGATTTGATATGATCCCAAATGAAGCATTTTCTTTTTATAGTATAGTTCTAATTATGGCTGCTGATGAAAATCTAAGCTATTATTCTGAATGGCTTGAACGCAAGTTTTAAACCCGGCTAGATGAAGTTCTATCTGATTGCACTTCCTTTCCTTTAAAGAGGCAAGGGATCATTTTGATACGAAATGCTCTGGTATCTGATGTTTATTCGTGCAGTTGTGCTTCCAACTATAAAGAATTTGCATCACTTTATCTGCAAATTATGTTATGTTTGTCAACTTATGCTTTTTGTAAGATGTAGTGGCGATGCTTTATGTTCAATTCTTCATCTGTTTGTTCTTTATACTGCTCGTGATTGTTTAACGTGTTTATGATTTTACGATCAAGTAATAGATTTGTAATTGTCTTGGTGTATGCAGCATACAGCTGCTGTATCCATAATATATGGTACTTTGAAAGTCTAGGAAGTTGACTAGCAGGACTACTGCCAAATTCAAGAATGACGTTCAAGGCTTCTTTCTTTATTTGAGATATTGAGAATACGATGGCCTCATCAGTCCTAAATTTTATAAACACTACATTAGACTGGGTAACATTGGCTTTAGATGCTCCTTCAGCACGAGCTGTAGTTTTTGGTTTTCATATTGGCGGTAATCTTTAATATCTGACTGGAATATCCTCACCTTATGGCTGATTACTAAGTTATCAATTGATTCACCTTTATTACTATCTTCTCTTTGAAGGGCATTTATTTGTGGAAGTTCTTCTTCTGGTAGTCATCCTTTTCCTGCTTTCCCAAAAAAGTTACAAGCCTCCTAAACGGCCCTTAACCGAAAAGGTTAGATCGACTGTATTTTTTTCAATTCATCAAATGTTGTATTTGTTTATGTGTGCGTTTATTTATGAAATTTGTGAATTTGTTGTCTGTATTTATTACTTCTGTTTACTTGCCAGTGAAAGTTTCAGTATTGTATAGTTTATAAGTGGCCCATACAAATCTGTTGTGTGAAATTTTTTTTACATCTGGTAGATTATAAATTATGATTTTCAATAAAATACATTTAATTTGGCCACTCCATTAACTTTAGGAGCATTTTCCTCATTATGTTCTTGTAAAGATAGGATCAGTATGTTGCAAATTTGAATAGTTGTTCTATCAATTAAAATTTCAAGTTTATATAGAGGTTTGGCTAATGTGGTTTATAGTAGTTCTAGTGATCTAGGATAGGCGTATCTCTTATCATCATTTGTGAACTTTCTAGAACTTTCAAGGTTGATAATCCTCCAGGTTTCCTGTACATGTAAATGGAAGCTGCTTTGCAGAACTGGACTTCTTAATTTTTCCCTCATGATTTGTCTGAGTGGTCTGGTCTTATTACATGAAAGGTTCCATGTAAGCTCTTGACAGAAGCTTGATTGATAGCTTCATTGTCCACGCGCTTGGGCTTTCAGGATGATTGTTCATGTTGTTGGGTTCTTTTTAGATGACATGATCTATTCTGTATCTAATGGAATTGTGATTGGATGTTTAGGTCTGGTATAAGGTTGGTAGATTTGAATGACATATTAGTTTGTTCTTTGTTGACTTGGAAATGCAATCGATGGATTTATGAAGATGTTGATTTCTTGATGAGGGAACCGTGTAGGATTCTGTTTCAAACTTTCCTTCCTATTCACCTTTTTCTTTCAATGGCCATGCCCTTCATTGCTTTCAGTGTACTTTACATGGACTTCTGGTTTGTAATTCTTCTCTCACCTTGTATAAGGTGCTTGTTCATGTTTATGTTCTGTCTATTACATATTGTTTTACATCACTTACTGCTCTTGAATAGGTTGATACACTTCGCTCTTTAGAGGGAAAAAAAAATGCTGCAATCTTAAGATGGAGATTGGCAGATTGTGCTAGTATGTTCCATAGGGAATCCCTACATATTTTGTCATTTTCCAGGATAAACTTAATCTATTGAGTGTCTATTTATGATTTTGAAGCCCTCAGGCTGCTTTTCAAGATAATGTTTCAAAAATACTGGTGGAAGTCAAATAATTTTACTCATTATTATATTATTACCTTAACATTATTGGAGTACATGCCTAATATCTGCAGGAAATAGATGAGCTGTGCGATGACTGGGTTCCAGAACCCCTTATTCCTCATCTGAGTAAAGAGATGCAGTATGAATCACCAGTGCTAGAGAGGTGACTGATTTTTCTTGAGGGAAATCTCATTTATGTTCATGATTTTTATATGTTTGAACATATTATATTATGTTTTTATTTCTTGTTTGTTTTGTTGATTGAACGTATAAGATTATCTAAAGTCCTGACAGGTAAATGTCATGATATGCATTCATTGTTATGTTAGTTATAAGATTATCGGGAAAAAATAGGAAATTTTAATTACCTTGTATCTTCCTACTGTTGAGATGAGTTATGTTTCTTGCAGTGCTGCAGGGCCACATGCCATAATTAATGGTAAAGGTGTTGTGAATTTTGCTTCAGCAAACTACCTTGGGTTGATAGGTCATAAAAAGCTACTCGTAAGAAAATTTTCCTTGTATCACTGATAAATTTTGCTCTTTTGAGTACTTCTTTAAAGCAGTGCATTGATTGCAACTTTCTAATTTCAGGAGTCATGCTCTTCTGCTCTTGAGAAATATGGTGTTGGTTCTTGTGGTCCTCGTGGGTTTTATGGAACAATTGGTAAGGTTCATTGTTAAAGTAGATTCAAAATAATTTTAAAAAAAGTTTTTTTTTTAAACAAAGTTCTTTACTGGTAAATAATTGTTCTTTTATATCTCTTTTCTTCTCCTCAGATGTGCACCTTGACTGTGAAGCCAGAATAGCTAAGTTTTTGGGAACCCCTGATTCAATTCTCTACTCCTATGGACTTTCCACCATGTTCAGTGCAATTCCTGCTTTCTCAAAAAAAGGAGATATTATTGTTGTGTAAGCATAAACTCTGTCTTTGACTATCAGCTATGTGGTTCCGTCCAGTTTTTCTGCCTTTTTTGACGATTAAAGAGTGGTGCTAGCCAAACATAGCTGGTGTTCTGGCTGAGCAGTTTTATCTCAATTTTTTGGGTCAAAGTGGTTTATTTCTTAATTCTCCTGCTTCTTTATGCTGATATGATAACAATAACGTAAGAGTTGACATTGATTGTGTCTAGGACAGTTAAAAGCCCTAGTTAAAATGCCAATTAATATAATAAAGCAGTCTAGTTGACGCATTAAACTCTGATGTTCTGATGAAGTCTAGTTGAATGATTTGCTCTTGGGTTTTCCATTTTAAACTCACAATTTTTATATTCTCAACTATTTGGTACACATTTGAAGCTTTTATAGCTAGTTCTTGTAATATTGAGGGTTTAAGTTTTGCATACAAGGGGTTCTTTTACAGGGATGAAGGAGTCCACTGGGGGATACAGAATGGGCTTTATCTTTCTAGAAGCACGGTGGTGTATTTCAAGCACAATGACATGAATTCTTTAAGAGAAACTCTTGAGAAAATTAGTACAAAAAGCAAGAGAGCCAAGAAAGTGAGGCGCTATATTGTTATTGAAGCTGTCTACCAGGTAGATCTCGTCTTTCTTGCATTGCACCTTAACTTTACACTTGTAACTTGTGTGTTTCTATCTATACATCCTACATAATCAGCCATCATAAAGAGAGGATGCATGTTCTAGTATTCAGATATGGTGGCTGCTTGCATTGTTGGCTTCTTGTTGCATGTTGTAAGTCATCCTATATGAATGAATGATATATATATTAACCATGATAGTGGGATGACCTAACAATTAGCATGGGATGGTCAGTAAGAAGCATGCTCTGATTTAGATTCAAATGGCCTTTTCTGGTCTGATGATGTTTCAAGCTCACAATTCTGCCTTGTTCTAATTTTTTTTTGTGGCTATTCTTGCTTCTTCAAGTGGTCACTATGGGGCCATGAATACTAAATTTGTATGTGGAATAATAACTGTTGCTATTAGATCTGCGTCTATCACAATGCCACTGTCGCAAGAACAAGTACTGCTTACCTGGGCTTTCTTATTCATATTTAACTGTAAAAATTCTTTTCACAGCAGTTCCTATACTAGCATCAGTCAATGAACGCTAAACTTGTTTGACCTGTGCCTATTAACAACCTTTTCTTTTCCATAAAATTTTCAGAATTCTGGCCAAATTGCACCCTTAGATGAGATCATTATGTTGAAGGAGAAATACCGTTTTCGTGTTTTGTTAGATGAGAGCAACTCAATTGGTGTGCTTGGAAGTACGGGAAGAGGTCTCACTGAATTTTATAAAGTTCCAGTATGTGACGAAAATCTCTCATTTTGTCCCTTCCTTCCTCTCTTTAGGTGCAGGTGTATGTGTACCGAATGCAAGTGTTTATACATTCTGAATTGCAATGTCATGTGTGATTTATGGTTATGCATTGCAGGTTGAGAAGTTAGATATTATAACTGCTGCTATGGGACATGCATTAGCCACAGAAGGAGGATTCTGCACTGGAAGTGGAAGAGTTATAGATCACCAAGTAAGGAAGTGTCCTATTTGAATGATAGCACTATTAGTAATAGGTTTGATTTTTAACTTGATGACAACAATAAAGAAGTAAGAGAATCAATGATTTATTTCTTAAGCTGTTATTTACCAAATTTTTCCTTCCGTTTTTTTTTTTTTTTTATCTTCCTGAATAATGACTTATAAAGTGCAAAAATTGTGTGTCATCTGACGAGTTTCCACCGGACGTTATATATTTGATACCAGATTTTATAATCCTTTCTAAAGCACTAATATTTTGACATGTTTTCTGTCTTTGCAGCGACTGAGTAGTTCTGGCTATGTCTTTTCTGCTTCACTTCCCCCGTATCTTGCTAGTGCTGCAATCACAGCTATTGACATTTTGGAGGAAAGTCCCAATCTGATTACTAGGCTGAAAAATAATATTTCTATATTGCGGAAAGGTAGTTCCTGCTCTCCCTGCCTTGAAAAGTGCCCACCTTCTAGATTTTTATGTGGCATCTGGCTGTTTAACGTCTGCTTGCGCATGCGTGTTTAGACCATTGATTTTGTTTTCGACATTCACTGCGCTACTATTGCAGGATTATCGAAGATAACAGGCTTAACAATAGCAAGTAATCCAGAGTCGCCGATTGTTTATTTGAGATTAGAGAAGTCTACCGGTTCCATGAAAGATGACCTGTCTTTGCTTGAAGATATTGCCGAGCGTGTAAGGGATGTTGTTTGACAATGAAATGCCTTAGTGCCAGTTTTGCTTGTGCCTAATGGATGTGTATTTTTACAGGTTTTGAAAGAAGATTCTGTATTTGTGGTCACTTCCAAGAGATCAACGTTGGACACATGTCGATTGCCTGTCGGAATCAGATTATTTGTCTCTGCAGCGCATTCAGAATCCGATCTTCACAAGGCATCTGAATCATTGAAAAGGGTTGCAGCATTATTGCTTAGTGGTCGTCATTGAACGTGGCACATCTCTCCTGTCCTCTTGCTGTATGTACTGAAACCTCTAAACATCAAATACCGTCGATGGCTTGTTGAGCGATTTTGCAATGGAGGCCAATCAGAAAAAAAGGGGGAGCTTCTGTACTTGTTGATAATTTATGCAAATTTTAAAATTTGATATTTCATGGTATCAATTTTTGTGTTTCCTGATGACTTCAGATGTAGAATGAGAGTACATGGCTTCTAATCATGAGCAGATGGTAATAGGCCTAATAAAGAATAACATCCAGTAATGTCGCTGCTTTTCTCCTGATGATATTATATTTTGTTAAAAAATGACAATAAATATAAGGAATTGCCCTTAACTAAAAGATTAAAAATACTAAAATGCTTAGCCAAAATTTTTTTTCCTCCTTCATTCAGTTCGCTCCTCCTTCTTCACTGGCGCTCGCCCACCCTAGAATGCTCTTCCCTTTAAAAAAAAAAAAACAAAAATGAAAGATGAGAACAGAACTTTCTACGTTGTTGAGGAAAAGCACAACCAGACAGACCCATCACCAGAAATACAATCCTTCCATTGGTCTGCTTTCTAGGAATCGAAGGTGGCTTAAGGTTATGTTATGACTCATGCCTAAGATCTGTACGTTAATGATATAAAATGACCTATAATTGTGTATGTTTTTTAATTTTATTTTGTGACGCGCAGGCAATAACCATGTTAACACTTATTTATTCTTTGACCATAATCAACACGTGATAAGGCTTTGATTATTTTTATCAAGTTGTTGCCGTATCAGTGTAGTAATATTTTTTTTTTTGTAAAGATAGGGTGGAAAGATCTCCACTTAGTCGGTCCTCCATATGACGCTGAAAAGATTTAGAATAATGGAATAATTTTGTTCTTGTACGATATTTATGGAACCATTAAATTAATGAAACCGAATTTCTCCTTTCCAGATTAAGTCTCCTATAATTCAAGAGTCTGTGTTGTCGTCGCCATCAACGTAAATCAGCAGAGAATGTGTATTACAGTTTATACATCAGAATGCATGCATTGGTTTCCTAATAATATCTAAGAACAAATTTAACAGTGAAGGATTTTTCTCCCAAAAAATGATAGGGAGTAGAAGGAAAAAGATCAAATTTAATATGACAGTTGGTTTGGCTAATATGTGGAAGACAGGGAAGTTAGAGCCTTCGCAATGTGTGGCAGCTAACTGTTCCATGGACATGAACCGGTTTCTGGGTATACTAGGAATTAGAAACCAGCCAGAATAAAGCATCTGAAGCGGCTCATGGCTGCGCTAGAACCATTAGTTAAAATAATAATAATAATTTGGCTGTACTAAAATCTCACTGAGATCATGAGAAACAGCAAAAACACATGCCACCACTTGAGCCACTGAAGCTAGCTAGAATGGTGAGCTTGTGACATTTTGGGAACGATCCAAGACGATTTCAAATAGATCAGCCTCAGAGTCATAATCAAGATCTACGACCCCATTATTAAAGTGGCTTCCTTTGGGGATGGCCACATTAAGCCACTGAGAATCAATTCTTCCAATAGAAAAGAGCTCTTTGCTATCTTCGTAGCCCAGGGTGGCCGTAGCAAGATTATTTACTAGAGGGGCTATAAAGCATGGATTAAGCGTTCTCTGTGCATTTGCAGCTCCATACTTGAATGCACATTGCCCAAAATTCACCAACACCGTCATGTCTATATTTGCAGCTAACGTTGGATAGAGTGGTGTCTCAAATTCCTCTGAATAGCATTGGATTACATGCACCAATTCAGATCCCATCGTGAAAAAAACCTTCTTCAGCCTCGGATCATATCGGCAACCTATTACTTTCTCACTTTCAACCCACCCTACCTTCTCTGATTCCATTACCAGTTTAGTTCCTGAAAGATTCATATCCAAAAATTACATTTTTGGATGTTTGGTATAGCATCAATGGCTCCAATCCAAATAGACAACATGAAACAAAAGTTTTATATCCTAAAAATACAGTAATATACTCATGGCTAATATGGACGTTGAAAGCAGCAACAAGGACGTGACGTTTACCTTCAAGATAGACAGAACCGTTTGAGTTGAACCCGATGCTCCCTGCGTAGCTGCCTGGAGCTCTGGAGGGAACAAAGCGTCCTGTTGTTAACCCCACTGAGAACATTGCAGGTTCACGCTTTCCCTCCTCTTTACCTTGGTCTCTCATTACTTCAATGTGGTTCCCTTTAGAATTTGAATTGTGTTGAATGAGTTTAATACTCTCCCCTTTTTTATTCTTTCCATTCCATTCATAATCATCGGCACCCGAAGCGTGCAGAACCGTGACTTCAAAATAAGCTTCTTGCGGGAAAGAGTAGTTTCCTAAAGGAGGACCGGGCAGAGGCAGAGCCGTCCTTGTGGCCGAGAATATACTCACAGAAGGATTATTTGAATGAATCCTTTTGAGGCCAGGGTTCAATCTTATCTTCTGCATGAAATCAATCGATCCCTGATACACTTCCCAGCTTATCTCAGCCTCTGTTTCTTCACTTGCGTGATCACCTGAAACAGAACCGCGCACTCCCAAACCCAAAAGACTTGTTCTTTTTGAAGGAGACGACCCGCAGGTCTTGTGGTCCACGAAAGCAAATCGAGACCATGCATCTTCCACAGCATCAGCAGCCAGCGAGGGATGATCAGACCAGTTGAACAAGAGTTTTGCAGAGACCCCACCACCAAACTCATGATAATTCCCCTGATGGAGTCTCGCATTACCAGATTGCAGACTAACTGGTTCGACGAAAGTTCAACATTGTTTGCGATAACACCAACGCCAAATACAAACCAAAAGAAGAGTTGAAACACATCCCGACAAGCCCGCCACCACCGCAACATGGACCCATTCCCTCATCTTCTTAGATTTTTATGCATCGATCGTCCTTATTCATACAGGGAGAAAGCTCAAGAAGAAAATATTAAAGAGGGAAGAGAAGCTTTATAGAAGGGTTTGGCTAAGAGTGGTTCAATCAGTTAGGCATGCAGGAGGAAGAGGTGCGAGGTGGGATTCGCACAAGCGCGAAGTTGCGTTTCTCTGATGAGAGTAGGATTTTATTGTCAGTTTCACGGAGTTTAATAAATGGAAACCGAATCAAGTACATGTGGCATATATGGTAACAAGTTGGGTCTCTTGGACATCATTTCAGGTTTGATTCTGAAAAGTGTGTATAAAAAATATTATTTAAAAGAGAATAATCGTTTAAAAAATGTTTAAATTTTTCAGAGATTAAGCTCATGACTATGGATTGTAGGGAGACCTTGGGTAGGGGGAAAAAAAATAGAAACCGACAATGTTGCTCTCGTTAATAAGTAATGACGCGTTTGTTGGTTTGTTGTGTTGTGTTTTCCAAATGGAGAGAGAATAAGGATCGCCAAAGTTGTGCTTTCCATTACCGGGCCTGAAATTCAATGCCCCGACTGTGGTTAGTGGAGATGATTCCCGCACATAAATCAGAATATTAAATTTTTAATTTATTTATTAATATAATAAAATAAAAAAGGATGCTTTATCGATCCTCTTGCTTTTGGCAGCGTAGTTTTCAATCACTTGCTCCTAAAAAGCAAGGTTCACGTGCAAAACTAAGCTGTTTGCTGACATTTGGGTTCATTCATAATTTACAAGCTTAAACTTAAATATCCTGTTCAGTGACATTTTAATGGTCTTTTTTGGTTATTCCACAGTCTTAACATGGTGGTGATTAGGAAAATGTTGATGTTTAAATAGCTGGAAAACAAATGAAACTGAAATTAAACAGAGGGAAATTATGAAAGTATTGCTTCCTTGACTTTGAGTGATAAAAGATGTAGCTTCACCTTCAAAAGCACTCACTTTGATGCCACTAAGTCAGTTGAAAATTGAAACAATTCATATTTTAATAGAAGCATGGAAAGATTTGATTAAATTTCAGGTCGTTTTAAAATTAAAATGGAAAGATTTGATTTATTCCATTTAGTGAGGCTTTCTGTGAGCATGTCCGAATCTACAAGCAACAGTGCGTCTCCACTAAACTGCAATGCCTTAAATTATTGAAATCTACAAGCAAGATTCTGGAAATATTACAAATATATATATATATTTATATATATGCAAGTTTCTTTTTCAATGTAAATTTGTTTATAGTTTACGCAATCTTGATCCATTTTAAGATTAGATTGCTAAAAATAAAGAGCTTTGATTTATTAATTAGTATTTCTTGCTATATCATACGCTTGTCTTATTTTATTTACCAACCTTGGTCATTGACCTACCGTTTTATTCCTGTTTTTATTTTCACTTTCATTTTATCATTGTTCACGTAATATTGTTTTATAAAAGCCTAAAAATATAGATGGGCAATAGAGAATCACTAAACGTTAAAAAAAAAAAAATGGATGTAAAAAATAATGGAAATGTGAGGACCCTTCAATTGATTTCATGGTCTATTTTGTGAGCAGGAGAGAGAGCTGAACGCTAATGGAGAGTTAGGGATTATGGGCCAAAAAAAAAAAACAGAGACTAGGCTTAATTCGGTCACAATAAAATTAAACTAGTTAGTTTCTGAAAAGTTAAGGTTGTTATCGGAAGCTCTTCGAAGAAAATGAAAATCGAATTAGAAATGAAATTGGAAAAGAAAAATAAATTGGATTTAAAAATATAATTTGATATACTGAAAAATTTAAATGGAATCCTTGTATAAAAAAGTGCTATATACTAAATTTCAGTGAACCAAACATGCCCTGAGTTTTTTTAGTCATGAAAAAAAAAAAAAACGATGCCAATAAACCCTACCACTACTGTGGGGAGAAAATAACCTCCCTACACTCTCAAGTATTAAATAAATTAAGATAAAATAGCAATCATGGATTTCAATAATAAATTAATATCAATCAATGATCAATTAATTTTAAAATGATATTGCAATCTCTTGATTCTTAATTAATATTAATTTTTAAAGTCAAAATTTCAAACTATCCTTTTAGTTAAAAAAAATTGATTTAGATGGCTAGTCATAAAAGCTCCAACATCGGCAACATTTTTATTCAAGAAATAATTAATTTAGATGGCTAAGTAAGAATTGATTTCTAACCACTTTCGTGCCATAACATGACGATATGTTGTTAATTTTTAAATAAAACTTGTCATTTTACAAATGTTACTTGTTAATTTGACATGAACAAATACAATTTGAGAGCTTTAAAATTTCACGTATTTTATTTGTTAAAAATTCAAATATACGGTTGTTAATCACGAATGGGTTGTTGTCAAAGCTAAAATGAATACTTATTAATAAATGATTAACACATACAATTAAACTCATCCTATCAATTTTTTTAAGTTGTTAAAACCACAAAATAGATTATTGTTAATTTCATGTTGTGAAAACTTAAATATATACTTGTTAATGAAGGATTAACACATACAATTAAGCCATCCAATCCATTTTTCTAGTCTGTTAAAATTTGAATGGAGTATTGTTAATTTAGAATAAATTATTTTCAAAACCCGAATAGATACTTATACTTTATGATTAAAAGCATGAGTCTAATGGACTTTGCTTTCCTGGCTTGTTAAATATAAAATAGATTGATGTTAATTTAGAATAAATTATTATTAAAATTTAAATTGATACTTGTTGATGAATGACTAATACATATAATTATGCTCATCCTATATGCTTTTTTAATTTGTTAAAGTTTGAATGAACTGTTGTTAATTTAAAATAAATTGTTATCAAAATAAGAATATATATTTATTGATAAAAGACTAACATGTATAATTATGATTATCTTACTTTTTTTTTTAGCTTGTTAAAGCCAAAATGGACTATTATTAATTATGAATAGTTTTTTTTATATAGTTATTCCATTTGACCTATGTTTTTAATTATCAGCATCAAGCATTCATTCAGGCTTTGACAATAATTCATTTCAAATTAACAATAATTTATTTGAACTTTAACAAGTTATGAAAAATAGATAATATGGATTTAATTATACGTGTTAGTCTTTCATCAATAATTTTACATTTAGATTCTCACAACAATTCATTTGAAATTAATAGCAATCTATTCTGATTTTAACAAGTTAAAAAAATTGATAGGATAAATTTAATTGTATGTGTTAGTCATTCATCAATAAGTATCTATTTAAGTTTTGACAATAACCTATTTGTAATTAATAGCAATATATTTAGACTTTTAATAAATAACATGTGTGAAGTTTTAAAACTTTTAATTTATAATTATTCATATCAGTTTAACAAGAAACATTTGTAAAATAATAAATTCTATTTAAAATTAATAATACACTATTATGTTATGATATGGAAGTGATTAAAAGCTTGGTATTACTTTATATATATATATATATATATACACCAAGCTTTTTAGATGGTTAAGGGTTATGGGATCAAATATTTTCTTAGCCACCTAAACCAATCACTTCTTAAATAAAAATACTACTAGAGCTAGAGTTTCAGTGATTGGCTGCCAGTGTTGGTGATAGTGGGATTTTTTTGTTTCTTAATTGGAGAGGTAGTTTGAACTTTTAATTTTAAAAATTAATATCAATAAAAAATTAAGAGATTGCAATATAATTTTAAAAATCAATTAATTCTTAATTAATATTAATTTTTCTCAACGGTGCTTCAACGCTATGTTCTCATAAATTAACATCATTTATACTCGACCCAAAAAACATTAACACCTCAGTTATGAAACGGGAACAATGCAAAAGCACCGAAGAGAAAATGGAACCCGGAAAAATCCAACTTGTAATCCAAACTCTTATCGCTACACTATACAAACGCCATAGGAGATAAAGCCATGAAGGTATATTTTTTTTGGTCGAAAGATGAAGGTATTTAACTTCACAGCACTTCGTCGCTCTGTCACGGAAGATCTCATCCAGTTCGAGTCCGAACCCTGAGAGGGAACAATAAAGTGCGGCTTGCGAGGATCCAGAGCATGAACACTCTCTCACTCCGTTACGCAGCGAATCCCACCCCATCTCCTTTCCTTCGCAATTACAGCTCGCAGAGCAGCCTCCGTTTCTGGCCGTCTGCCTCCTTCAATTTCAGAAATGCAGTGCTACTTGCAGTCTCGTCTAAATCCCCACCTCAAAGCCTGCCTTCACGCCGATGGGCTACCAGAGCCTGCTCCGCTGCAACTTCCGAAATCGACATGGTTAAGAACAAGGAAGGTATTTATGCCCCCAAACAGAAAAAAGTCGTAGTCTTATGGGACCTCGATAACAAACCCCCTCGCGGACCGCCATATCAGGCTGCAATGGCGCTTAAACAGGTGGCACAGCGCTTCGGCGACGTTGTCGACATGTCTGCCTATGCCAATCGCCACGCATTTATCCACTTACCCCAATGGGTTCTCCACGAACGCCGTGAACGGAAGCAAATAGACATTCTGGAGCGTAAAGGAGTGATCACGCCTTCTGAGCCGTATGTTTGTGGGGTTTGCGGCCGCAAGTGTAAAACTAATTCAGACCTCAAGAAGCATTTCAAGCAGCTCCATGAACGAGAGCGTCAGAAAAAGCTGAATCGGATGAGGTCACTTAAGGGGAAAAAGCGTCAGCGTTATAAAGAGAGGTTCATATCTGGGAATTACAAGTACAATGAGGCAGCGAGGTCTTTGGTTACCCCTAAGGTGGGATATGGGCTCGCTTCCGACCTAAGGCGTGCCGGAGTGTTTGTGAAGACGGTAGAAGATAAACCGCAAGCAGCTGATTGGGCACTGAAGAGGCAGATGCAACACTCATTGAGCCGAGGGATAGATTGGTTGTTTTTGGTGTCTGATGATTCTGATTTCTCAGAGATGTTGAGGAGGGCCAGGGAGGCAAATTTGGGAACGGTAGTCGTGGGTGACTGGGACAGGGCATTAGGGCGTCATGCTGACTTATGGATTCCTTGGATTGGAGTTGAGAATGGAGAGCTTGCAGAGGTAGATTTAGTACCCAAGAGCAAAAGAAGAGAGTCTTTTGCTGAAGATCATGGTTTTTTTTCACTATCGCGTCATGATGGAAATGCTGTTCTTGCAGGAGATTTGGATGGAATAGTAGATGAGCTTGTTGCAGTGAGAACCGAGTTTAATGATCTGAGAAATGCAACATTTTCGGATGAGGATGAGGATGAAGAACAAGGATGGGATTCCGAAGAAATCGATGAAAATTACTTGTTAGTGATCGATGAGGATGAGGAAAGAGAAGACGGTTTCTATTGAAATAGAAACTATAATTGGCCAGGCAAATATTTTGCTGTGGTTGCACACGCTATTGAGAGCTGATTGATTCTCTCTTATGGAGCTTGATTGCTTTCAGAACCAATTACCGGGGCTAATCGAAGATTAAATAATGGAACCAGTAGCATCATGGAGAGTTCCATCCTTAAATGAGCGCATCACATTTTGCATGTATGTGTAGCGTATGGCTTCGCGAACTTAGGTTGCTTGTATTGTAAGCTAAAATCGTCTTTCAGTGTTGCCTGCAATTTTCTTCGTCATCCTCCTAAAGGTGAGCTGCGTTAGGTTCAGGCTTGCCATGGTACGCAGTTCTTCATTTTGAACCACTTCATTTTCCAGTGTAAAGTTTGTTGGTGGACAGAAATTATTCCTGAATATATAACAACCGTAATAGAATCACTGCAATCTGGCAAGTTGATGTTTCAACTATTTTAAGACTTTTGCATCGTAATTCTTCATGCTTAAATTCCATTTCTCTTTACCGGTAACAAACATAATTTTGGTTAGATCTAAACATCTAGAAAGTGTGGGCTTCCGTTATGCATTATTTTAGTATTTGTACATTTGGGTTGCCATAGGAATGCTAGATTTTCAGGCTAATAAAAATTTATATGACGATGATAATGAAATGATTTATGTTTTTAGAGCTTCTCTATCGGTTCCCAATGATACGTATTCTAGTTTTCTGATTCGAGCAACGGCAAATTTTTCATTGAAGAATACCAGAGCGATATCCCTTTGTTTTGTGGCGCTAATCAATCACACTAACATTAATATTAGTATGCTGTAGATTGGCTTGGTTATTTTATCATTTTTGATCAATCACCACATTATTGCTTTAAGGTGGTGGAGGATGAAAAGAGGTAATCTCTTTGACAGTGTTTGAGTTTGTACTGATGTATTCATACTCTGCCTCATGTCTCTGTTAAAAAAGAAAGCGATGTTGGGCCAGGTTTGCTGGTTAGATTCAGCAGCCATTTTCTATTAAATAGCTAATGGGTTTTGTGAATGCTGTTACTAATTTATAGTATTTTGAATGAAGTGGTAGTTCTTCCATTATTTTACAGAATATCTAGTAACTTTAATTTGATAGTACCACCCCCCCTTTTTATGTATAGCTTATTTTAGCTAAGGGACCGCTGAACATACTTGATTATCAGGCTAGAATGTCTAACTTCTCATGTCCTGTTTGGGTAATTAGGTCATTTTATTCCATTAATACTTCTAAAATTAGGCTAAAGAGTACAGTTGCTCTGTAATAAATGTTTCCAGTTCCAGCCTGGATTTTAACAGTATATGATCTCTGTTCTGGAATTTTGTTTAAACGTTTTTGAAATCAGCTAGGGAAGGTAAATGATAGTGGCTTGTTGTTTGAGAACTTCAATACCTATTAAGTATATCTCTTGCATGTCTTTGGCACCTTTCATCTTATGTTTAAGATTTGAAGTGGCTCCTTTTAACTGGTGGAGTAAAAGTAGTTCTCTGCTTTTGTTTTTCTAAGTGGCTCCTTTTTTATGATATGCATCATGCCATCAATTCTTCATATAAGATTCGCCATTGCCATCAAACTAGCCACTTTTAATTATTATTGGAATCACGCAATCCATGAAGAATGTCTTTGAGAAGCCAAAAAATTATTAGGATTTTATGTTCTCTCCTTTTTCCATGGGAAGGGAATCTGTTTCGCAGTATAATCTCATTATTCATCTTGGCATAGAACTGAACACAATTCTCTTGAAGTACCTTCTATTTTGAATTACCCAGTTATGAAAAGAATGAGGTATTACCCATAGTTGGATTGGATCCTGGCTACTTATACGGTTATACCTACAGTTTTGTATAGTCCAAACTTCATGTTTTCTTGGCAGTAAAGGCGTCGTGTCTTTCATAACAAACTATGGACTGCCTTCAGTTTATATTGATATTAATTCATTCATTAATTGGCAGAAAAAGTTACCTTGCTGAAATCAGCCTTGATGAATATAAGTTGTTGATTTCTTTGCCAGTTGAGAGGCCTTGAAATTATCTGTCTATTGTTTCTTATCGAGGTACTTGAAGAGAAGAAAAAGTTGACGTAGTCACCAGGATGAAGCCTGAGGAAGAGTGACCGAGACAATGGAAACCAGAGTAAGATAGTTGTTTTTGGGCTACATCCACCCATCTGATTCATGTTGGGAACTTTTAGAAACGGCTATGGGGATATGGTGATATGGTGATAAGGACCTTCAAAGATATGACTGTACATAATGACGGCTTGAATTTAGTTGCTTGGTGACAAATCTTGAGAAGTATCTAGTTGAAGCTGTTATTTCATATTTGTACGATGATGGTAAATTAGGTTATACCTTGATTGCGTTTTCGCTTTTGATTACTTATTTCATGGTTGTAGACATTGTCTTCTTTAACCCTGTCTGCTTCACTGAATTTCATAAGGTCATATTGGGGCTCTGATGAGATATGGGCACTTGATAGCCTTTCAAATAGATTTCTGAAAATGCAGTTTTGGTCACAGTTGCTTCTATTGTGCTGCATGCACTATGTAAGTTGTTGCCACTGTTCGGACGTAAATAATTCCAATCTTCTGTTCTAAATGAGCTGTAATTGTTGATTCCCATTTTACGTTTCAATTTGTTTCTATGTTTTTTTAGTTGGCGCTGGACAATCTTGTCTTATAGTTCATTTTGACCTTTTAGATTAATTTTCTTCATCCGTTGGTTGATTATTCCTGATGACCGAGGGTCCGTTTGGATTTCAGTTAGGTATAATAGATTATGAAAATAATTAATTAAGTGATAGATTTTAATCATAATTGATTATGTTATAATGCAATTTGTTTGAATACTGTTTTTTTTAAATTGATTTTAATAGAATTGAAGATGTTTGGATAATTTAATCATAATTAATTTTTAACTATATAAATTAATATATAATTCAATTTTTAAATACTAAATATTAATTTTTTGGAGGTACAAAATTTAAATTTTATTAAGAAAAAAAAAGGAAAAAGAAGAGAGTTTATTTTTATTTTTATTAAATTATGTGTTTTTTTTATAACTTTTTCTTGGGCCTATCTTTGTAATTTTTTTCAATGTTTTTGATAAACTTTTGGCAGAAAGCGAATGGAAGGAGCTTATGAGAAAACGCGTGTTTTGCCTGTTTAATCAATTTTTGCGTTTTTATACTGTTTGGGTAATTTTGTTTAAAAAATCAATTGTGGGCTAAAAATGCACATTTCTTTTCTATCCAAACACACGCTAAGATTCAAGGGTAAGTCATACTAAATTTGAAATAATGGTTTCACGTACTTATTTTTCGTCAGAAGATGGCTGCCTTCTGACATTGTACTATCTTTTGGAAATGTTCTTAGTTATAGTGGTCGCTGATCACGTCGCACCGGGTTGGGCCGGACCAGGACGAGGACTAGGGATCACTTGAACCTCTCGGTATGATTGGACGCGTGGCTTGCTTTGCTCAGGATGGCTTGGAGCCTGATATTCGATTCGGGTTGGTTGGATATTGAACAAAGAAAATAAAATATAAAAAAATAAAATTTAATACCAAATTTTTTCTAAATTATGCATATTTAATAGTTATACAATAAATAATTTAAAAAATAAATTTATATTTTAATCTTTATTGTTCGTCAGGAACAACAAATTATTTGACGTGTCAGAGATGTTGATTCTTAATCGATGACAAATAGTTTTCAAGCTCCCTTACTATAGTTTATTCGAATGCAAAAGATACGCAAGCAAAAAGTAATAGAACAAGTGTTTGACTAATATTAAAAAGTTACAAGGTGTAAATGGTTATAAGTTTGGAATGAAAATAAAACTAAACTAATAAACTTAAAAACTATGGTTGCAAAGTTCAAGTTTTTGGAATGATCTTCCTTCAGTTGTTTATCCATGCGATCTTGGATTTCTTATAGCACTTCTGCTACTAGACTGTTGGATATAATCAGTGGATTTACATGTTCACTTCTTGGTTTTGGCTTAAGGCTCGTGCTGTTGCTACTTCTTGACATTCGGCACCACGTGCTCACGATATCTAATAGTCTCAGCATCAAGTATTAATGATTCTAAACTTACGAGAACAAAGTTTCCTTATGGTTTGTGAGAACTAGCACTTGTTTCATCAATCTTTTTGTCCTTGTCTTCAACATCTTGTTACACAGGTTAATGAGAAATAACAAATTACGAGCATGCCAAAGACATTGAGTTTTAATCGATGACAAATGGTTTTCGAGCTCCCTCACTATAGTTTACCCGAATGTCAAAGATACACAAGAATTGGCAGAATAAGTATTTGACTAATACTAAAAGGTTACAATGTGTAAATGGTTACAAGCTGAACAAGTATTGCAACTCAAGGCTTATTTTAGGTTTTTAGCCCATTATGGCCTTTGTGGTGTTTTGGAGTAGGCAGCCCTTACCCAATGCTATCAGTCAATTTAGATTTTTTTTTTATTTTGGCATTTGAAAATGCATAATGATGGTGGAAGATGAGTTGTTATGAGGGGTTGTCATAATCGTTGAATGCGGGTAAACAAGTTACAAGTCTAACGTGGAGATGAGATATTCTGGGGGCGTCATTGGTGCAAGAAAGTATGTGATTTCATGATGGTTTTGGTTGTTTGAGAAGAACGTGCAAGTCAGTTTCTTGTAATTCATTTCCAATCAAATTTTCCATTAGAAATGCAAAAAGATCTTATAGTTTATCTTTGTACTTACTTAAAAGAACAACACACAAAATTAACAATCATATTCAAGCTTTGAAAAATATAAATGTATATCAACTACTTCTTTACCTGCAGCAACAACAGCTATTCATAATTAATTAGTTAAGCAGTGTATATAATTTTTTGGGATGGCCAATTTAATATAACACTTACACTTTATTTAAAAAAAAAAAATAGAGAGGCATGTGTCTCTTACCACTAGTGCAAGTTGCCCGTCAATGGGAAAAGGCAGTTCATGCATTTACACTGCTGCTAAAATTGGGTGCTGAGTTGAAATTGGTAGGAAGAATTTGCAAGGACGGTACATGGTAGGGTCAAATGACTCGTGATCGTGATGTTATTTATCGGACTGCCGATTTAGCCGCCCTTCCCATGTTTGGCAGTAAGTGGGACACTGCTCCCTCCGTATTGCGTCATCCTTCTTCTTCTACTACCCACAATGGCGTGATGATATTCTCAAACAGTAGAAGAGAATGTTTGCTCTCAGTACACGCTCCTAATGATGGCCCGGCTTTTATAGTTGGTCTGCCCCTTCCAAGTTCCATCCCTCGTCCCTCTGAATCTGACGCCTGGCATCATTAGCATTCCATTACACCATTATTTTATTCCAGTAAGCGTGGTCTATACGATAGCATCTTCATTTGGAGCTGCCGCAACCACTCAGTATGGTCTCCTCCTCACTCTCTGACCCCCTGTATTCATCTTCCTTATAATTCACCACCCCACTAGACATTTAGACAATAGTTACAAACCTGTATTGTATATCAATATTGTGATGCTTCGTATATAGACTGTACAAGCATGATGCATCTAATGTAATGACGTCTGCTTAGTTTGTGTAGGTGCGCCTTGTTATCTACATATCAAACATGATCTTGGAGATTATTGAAGGGTGATTTGGCCAAAAAATAAAAAATAAAGTTTGAAAGGGGTGGGAAGAGGAAAGGGCGATATCGCAGAGCTCAGGTTCGTATTGCGTGGACGGAAAGTGATCCTTTCACACTTCCAACAGCCAACACCTTCCACCGACCTCCTTCCCCGCTAATTAGTTATTTTATTATCCCTCGCCCCTTCATTCTAAATTATCCCTCCTTATTATATTCACGTATATCGGAATCTCAGGAACATCAATTTGCTGCATTTTAAAAGTCTTCAGAAAGCAAACTGGGCAACTCGATAAAGATGAGGCGTATAAGTAATGTCATGCGTCTAATATACAGGACACTGTATTTAGTTTTTTATTTGGTTTAATTATATACACCATTTCTTCAGTCGAATGTTGATAGGAAGAAATGTTTTTATATATTAACCAACTTTAGAATTAAAGCTGATAATATATATTTGTAAGATAAATATGGCGTACCAATCTGTTTAGAAGTTAATTATATGGAAGACGACAATTTAAAAGATCAGCAGGCACAAGAGACAAATAGCCATACACCGATCCATTTATATCGAACGCCGACCTGGGAGGCTTCCCCGCCGCCCCCTAAATAACGCAGCAAAAAACAGAATAACGGGATGGAAACACAAATAGTTATATTATAAAAGGAAAACATATATATAGGTTCTTACAGTTTTACTTAATTTTAAATTAATTTTTTTAATTTATTTTATTTTAATTGAACCTTTATAATTTAATCAATTAAATTTTTTAATCCCTGAAAGTTAAAATCTTTACATATTTCCTTTAAAAAACAAAATTAAGAAGTTTTATAATTTTATTAAATGATTATATGACTTTAAAATTAATTACATATTTTTTATAAATCAAAATTTAAATAACTAGGTTTTCTTCTAAATATATAATAAAAATATAAACAGTGAATTAAATCAATATTTTTACTTTTGATTAAAAGTATTAAATTAAATATTTTGAAAACTCCAAGAGTATTTTTGTTCTGTAAAATTTAATAATTTGTTATTAATTTTAACCTTTAAGGGGTCAACATATATAATAGATGAAATTATAAGAATTTGATTAAAATAAAATAAATTATAAAAATTAAATTTAAAATTAAATAAAAGTATAAGGATTTGTAAGTATATTTTTTCTATTCACACATTTAAGGGTTTATGTAGGAAGCGGTAGGAGTGTATCCCGTCCACGTCGGCGGTCATAACGGGGCCCAACATGCTACGTGGAATGTGCAACAGAGAGAAAGAGATGGCTCTGATGGGCTGTGTCGGCCATCTTTGGATTTTAAAAAACAACACTCAACGTGGTCCCCTCTTCCCTCGACACGTTAGCAGCCAAGTCAGAAGTTCATTCCCTCTCTCTCCCCCCTTCTTATTATCTCCATGATTATACCTTTTTTTTCTCCTTTCATATTAATACCGTATAAAATGAGTATAAGAGTAAGTCCTTTCCGCCTCTGAAGAAACATATTTCTCCCAAGTCTTTACTTCCATTTCGCCCTCTTTTTATCTTATTATATATATACAGAGACGAGAGAGAAAATCCATATACACACACACATATTTATATGGACAAGAGGGTATCATGCCATATAATTATAGCTTAATTCGTTGTCACCGCGTAAGTGAGGCAGGTGCGATACGGACGGAGGAAACAGAGTGTTGCAGAAGGAAGACGGTGATGAGAAACAAGGCGGAGAAGCGAAAGCAAGATGAATCGAGAAAGAAACCGTACAGAGGGATTAGGATGAGGAAGTGGGGCAAGTGGGTGGCGGAGATCAGAGAACCCAACAAGAGGTCGAGGCTATGGTTGGGTTCCTACACCACACCAGTGGCTGCCGCTCGCGCATACGACACCGCCGTTTTCTATCTCAGAGGCCCTTCTGCTCGCCTCAACTTCCCCGAATTGTTATCGCAAGACGACGACGACGACCACCGCCTC